TACCCGCCGCCTGCAGATCTAGCCGCACGTGCAGGGGCTCTGTTGGCGCCTCTGGGGGATTGCGTCACCGCAGACCTCCAAGCTCTTGCCGTGCAGCTGGCGCAGGAGGCCCCAGAATCATTGGCAGCCAGGACCACCAAGGATTACGCTACCGTATGGCGCCAGTTCCGCAGCTGGTGGGAGGCACATAATTTCCCGTGGGACATCTACTCCACGCCGGGGGAACTGGTAGCCCTCTACCTTCTGGCCCTACTCAACACGTCCAGGGCCGACGGCGTCGGACCTGGCCGCGTTCGCCTTGCCAGCGCGGCCATAAGCACCTATTTCCGCATGGCTGGCAAGGCAACTCCCACAGAACACGCAGCCTGCGGTATCGTCTGTACTCTAGCAGAGAAGCGCCTCCATGGTCGACCGCTGCAGCGTGACGCCTTAGAACCGGAAGACATTGCGGCCCTGGCTCGCTTAGTTGAGGGCCCAGAGGTGCGGCTCGACTACCTGATGATGGTGGCAGCGGTGGCCATCATGTTTGCTGGTTTCTTTCGGTTCGACGACGCTGCCGAAATTTGCGTGCATGTGGACTTGCTGTTGATTTCTGCATCCCACATGGAGATCTTCATTCCCCGCTCGAAGACAGATCAGCTCATGCGGGGCCACTGGGTAGTCATCGCACGCTCCGGTGGCCCATGCTGTCCAGTCGGTCTTACCGAGCGATTGCTGGAGCTAGGTGGCTACCGCAGACAGCCAGTATCAGTAGATGAAGATGTAGGACCGCTCCTCCGACCGGTTCAATGGACGCAACGTGGCGGGTACCTCTCGGGTCCTCTGACCGGTACATGAGAAGCTCCAGTGCATTCGCTATCCTACGCGGCCTTCCGCACACGACTGCTAAAAATGGTACCCTTGGCTGGCATCAAGAGAAACATTACGGCACACTCCATGCGTATAGGCGGGAACAGCATGGCAGCGGACCGTGGAGTGCCGGCGGAACTGCGCAAGGCTCACGGCCATTGGTGCACGGATGCTATGGTTCAGCACTACACGCGGCGCGACACTGCAGCCAAACTCGAAGTCTCCCGCCGCCTAGGCCTCGCCGGTGAGTGGGTATCTCTTCGGTCTGCAGTGTAAGGGCCCTTGGCAGCCTGTCTCCCGGTTTTCCGCCTCTATCATTCCTCACACTGTCAGCCAGCATGTTCGAGTCGTCATAGCCATGAGAATACGGTTAAGGGAGACAGGAGCACAGAACATATACATGTTACATACATATTATATATTTATAGCTATCCACTACACACTTATTACGATCCAGCGGCAGGCAACTGCATCCTGAAGCCCGATCATGCATGATCGCTCATATGAGCGAGAAAGCAATTCCAAAGTTTATTATGGACATACATATGGACACATGTGTGTGCAGCCACGCGTGGCTGCATGCAAGCATGAATTTTAGTGCATGACTGGTTGCGTGCTGCAAGCGCTTGCAGCAGGCAGGTGCCTCATCATGATCATGTATGATCTAAGAAATCATGGCACAGAACCTCACTAATAAGGTTGGCATACACCACCAGCACATGATGAGGACCTCCATATGCTGTATATGATTGGTTGCTCATGTGCTACGTAGCTGTGTACATGATGGTGTCTCGCTAGCGCGTATATAGTCATGACTTTCATTAGCTGAATAAAATAATATTATATATCATTTACGTGTAATATACAGACGTATATACATATATGTTCGCTAATAAAAGCTACTGATATCAGTAGCATCGATGCTTAATAATCAAACTAGCGGTCTATCTGGTGCATGTAAGAAGAATTACGAACCACACTCACGGGGATCCTCAGAG